AGGTAAATTATTTTGATAGTTTTCGACTTATCTTTTTGATCTCGAGGCCTGGTAAGCGTTGCTACATGAAACCTACTTTAACAGGTACACTAGCATTGATTAGATGCGACTGTTTTTTTTCAAACGCGCAAGATGTAGCCTTACAATATATCATGTCAGCTCTTTTATCCGAAATAACAATGTCAGTTATCGCTGATGCTTTATCTGCGCTGTCAAATGTGACGTCCACCGGCAAGGAAATGACCAAAGTCTTAATTTCGTGCCCTACCAGTTGAAGTAAAAGGACGATCAAAGCTAGTGGAAGAAGGAACGAGGACGTTTTCTGATTGTACCGGTCGCTTCTCGAAATAGAATTAATTAGGGTTATTTATAAAAGTTTTTTAGCGTATTTACACAACTGAACGTGGATTCAGAATGCAGGAGTGTGGTTTCTGAATGGTAAGAAATGACTAGACTTATGGGGTGAAAGCAAAATCAAACGCGAGAATTTTTAAATCTATGATTACGTTTCTTTCAGTGGGATTAAAGGCGCAGGAGTTTCCAAAATTCTGCAAGTGACTCAGTTCTCGTGACAGTTGGACAGTCTTACAGGTCCTGCGTAAGTTACCGAGTCTGATAGTGGGTTCTAGATGTATCAGAGAAGTAGTGCGTATAAACATCTTTTTCTAAAAGCGTAAATACTGTCTTACCCACTTACCAAAAATTTCTCGAAAATTCGGCTTTGAAGTTGGTCAAGTCAGCGTTTAAACATTTTATTTTGACGGCATACTTATTTTGTTGACCAATTTGTGTTTCCCACGCACAATATTTTTACGTTGGCACAAGCCCAGCAGTTCGATAATAGATATCGTCTCTCATTCACTACTACTTAATGGGCTTATATTTTGTGTCCTGCGGCAAAAAAACAACAGTCGTAATTTGTATATTAATGAAATCTATGAAGTCTATCGAGTATTCAGAAAATCATTCGTAAGTCATACAATCAAACGTTATACATGTTTTGGGTCCCAGCCAAAGCTGTTATTTAAACTACCCAGAAACTAATGCGAATAAGCAACTTCTAAAATAAATTGCGGGCAATTGTGTTTAGGCCACCGAACTTGCCCATAACTACTTGGCTAAAAAAGCGTTTCGAAATGAGGCTAATGTAAACGGCGGATTAGTTTTAGATACAATATCTCAAAATGCATGTCAAGGTTCGGATTTGTTTGAGAAAAGTATTCACTGCAGCAGACAAAAGCCGCAGAGAGATATTTTAAACTTTCGGCAACTCAAATAATTTATTTGATAAGTTCTCACACGTTATCGCCAGGAAATTATACGACTGAACGCAGAGGACAGTTCACTAAGTTGTTTCTTATCAAAAAATTTACCGGTAACTTACTTTGCATTGCCTTGCCCGCAGTTTACAGAAGCTTAACTGTGAGCTGAAGAAAAATCAGAAGATGAAAACTGCACGATCACTTTGTAGTTTCAGGTCAAAAGATTATCTACAAACTCCATCAACTCCTTTGTGGCGCGAGGAATTAAGTGTTCCCACCTGCGAGCTTCTTGTATGCATATGTAGATGATCCATCGGAGAACCCTAGCTCGAGTGAAGCTATAATGTTTTAAACGTAAATTTTGAGCCCTGTTTTTGCCAAACACTGTGTTTCCGACTATGTTCCAGCATTTATTGACTTTATCTTGTCAGAAGGTCACACCAGAAACTTCTGCTAATTGAATATGCAAACGTTTGATCAAAAATAGTTGAAATAGACAAAAATTTAAAAAACATTTTGTAAAGGACGGAGTCAACCCGCAAAATGTTAACCGCACCCGTAGAATTCCGAGTATATGACACTAACCGCTGTCAAAAACATAGAAATGCGACGCTCTCACAAATTCCCAGAAGGCAATCCCACCTAAACCTGTTTCGTCTTGTATTTGGGCGATTTAATGTCAAAAAAATTAAAATTCACGACTAAGTTTCAACGCTCACTCATATTGTTCGTTTTAACCCTGCGTGCATTATTTGGCCCTATAGGTTAATCCTTTGCTAGGCTGTTAGTTCGATTTAGCGAGCTCTCGTCACTGGGAATTTTTCCAATCATAAGGAGACAAGCAACAGCCGCTGCTTTTATTTCCATGCAACTGTCTATCAGACAATCTTACAAGTAATCTACGACAGCCTGCAGTTTACACACTGTCTGCCAATACAGACTACCGGGTGGTCTGCGTCGTTTGTCGACGACGGTGGAAAAAATGTTAATCAAGTCAGTCAGCGGGATTATGTGATCGCGATGAATTCCCTGCTGACCACACAATTGCTGCAAGTCAGAACCAGGCAGTTTTTGAAAGCTCATCAAAGATACCCATTTGGCTTCGGTTGATGCAAAGTTCCAGCTACTTCCAAAACATGTAAATCCTTTCAGGGAGGAAAGCGCGTGCTTTGGAGCCTTCCACATTTCACGTTGCATGTTAAAGTCAACTGAGTTCCGAACTGCGGTCAGATTCGGTGGAAGAATAGCGTGGACTTATTTAGCTGACTTTTTGTTTAGTTAGTCAGAGGGCTCAAATTTGTTGTGAAACAATGCCCTTGTAGGTTGACACTCCCCTGTGCCCACAAAGGTCTGTTTTCGTCCTGGTTATGCTCAGTCAGACATCCATCGGTTTACGTGGACGCCTGCTATGGAAGAAGCTGAATAATGAGACTACGTTGAAGGGCGCCGCAATAATAGCAGTTAATACAGGGATATTTTAGATACGATCAATAAATTCCTTCACAGAGCTTAAATATGCACATTTGCTCCAGCGACATGGTCACTTGCCGTCTGAGCGCCAGGATGAGCACGTAGACTACCGTTTCATCTATCTTTAGGACATCTAACTTGCATTCTGCGCGTTCTTTTCAGGACAATGATACATTCTACTGTTTTTTAGGAAGGTGCTTTATAAAGTGCAGGACGGTAGCTAATGGACTATGATTCAGACTCTGTCCCTTACTTAACATCCCATGACGAACAAGAAAAGAATGCCCACTGTGCTTGGCAACCTGTTGTCTTGTGTTGGAGCCAGGTCCCCCGTGAAACGCACAATCGGGTCATATCAGCCAATTGCATCAACCCCCTCCCCCCAGATGATTGACGGACTCCAACAGTTCATTAGTGTTCAGGAGAAGAAGCCGAGGGCGAGGCCGACCCTGTCAGCGAATATTCCTCACTAGAAACGATCTGGTGCGGTTTTAAATTATCACACCCAGCCAAAAAACGCGGACGCCTACCGACCAAGAAGAAAAAATAGGCACTCTCAGGACGAGGGGACAGGCCGTAATGGCTTTTTCTTGATGTGGCCTCTAGGATACCCCACTCTGCTGAGATCAGTCCGCCGCTTGTTTCTGTGAACGCTTGGTTCATCATGCACAGACAAGGCGTGCGCTGGCACACGTAGGGGATCGTGTAGCTTTGTCACCCTCTGTGCCCATACCACAGGCAACCTTTGTACTTCATTTCTAACGCCAAACTCAGATGGTGGAAGAAAAGAGTGTGGTAGATGCTGTGTATGTTTGCAACTGCCATGGACAAACTCACTGTCATGTCCCCATCCCTGCGCCCATTCTGCTGTGTAGGCAGTGAATCTGCGAAGAATGAGGTACAATCACTGGAACAGGAGTTTTATTTGCATGACTTTTCGGATTACTGCTCGAATCCATCATCAGAGATATTAGCAGATACGGGGGACTGCAGTATTTATTAGGATGTAATTGCTATGCGACCACGTACTTACAGAAATGCACGACGCTCCCCCTAATCGGAGATTGGTGCACTTGGTCTGATGACCGTGTGGTGGCTGACATTCGCGCCGTTAGTCGCTGCAATTTCACCACAGGTGTTACACGTTGGTGCGATGATTGTCCCAGCATCTGACCCACCGATCGTGGCGTTGGGAACAGCGTTCGGATGTGCGCTCTCCAATTCGATAATTACTCAGCCTAGGTGAAATCGCAGTACCTGAGCTGCAAGGAGAAGGTCACTGCACTTGTTAATAGATTGGGGGCCGGCGAAGCTCTTTAGTAACCGCAGTGAAACTCCTAATGGGGCAGACTTTCTCAACATCTATCTCATTCTTTCCTCTCTCTCTCTCACCTGTCCGGAGCTGTCGGCAAGTCAGCGTTAAGACCATGGGAAGTGGGTTCGGGCCCAGTGCCTGACAAAGCCAAACAACACCTTTACGTGTTCCACACACAACCTGGTTAGCCAAAGAATCAAATCTTCGTGAGAGTGGATTGGACCTCACATTTGTGAAAGCACCATGGCGGTCACATCAAGAAAGGAATCTTTGTCGTCTGACTCTCAGTCCTGAGAAGTACCGAGTTATCCCGCCAGTTGAAAACCCTCCAAACCAAGACTTCTAGCCTCTGCCTCTGCTTCTACCTGTTCTCGCTTGCCTGCCTATGTCTGCGTATTTGTTGTATTTGCTACCTGCCGTTCTTTTGAAGTAGTTTGTCCACCGCTTATATATTTTAGCAACCAGTGCGTTTAGAAAAGGCCAGGAAAGCTCTGCTTCCAGTCTCTTTTCTCTTCCCCCCACCTCCCTTCCCTCCCCGCTTCAAGCGCTACGGCAACGTCGTAGGCAGTCCCAGGATAACTCTGGTCGCTCTTCCACAAACCAAAGTCGTGGCCCGCAGTGGAGTTTGGCACCCCGTCTGGGAACACTGTGAAGTCCTATTTAGGGAGGGCACTGCTCACCCCCGCGAGGGGGAAGGGTGTAGAAAAGGAGCTTTAAACAAATGCTAGCGACCCACGCCGTCTGCAGTCTGCTCGTGACATTAGACGCAAAACTCACGGTCGAAACACTCAAAGTCCGAAACAACACACTCTCTCTTCCCTCTGCCCCGCCACCCCAATCGTCAGACTGGTAGGGTGAGTCTGCTTACTCTGTCAGCCGAGAATATTCGTTCTCTTTTAGACAACCAGAGGAGCAACCGAACGGAACGGACGATGGCGCTAGTGCCTCGGGAAATGGCGTTCTACAAGGTGCAAATCGCTGTACTCGGTGGGACCCGGTTCTCCGAACAAGGCCAACTGGAGGATACGGATGCCAGTTACAACTTTGCGACAGTGGCACCTGCCGGGCCGTGTCTTCGTCTGGAGGCGAGACCAGCGGGACGTGCTGGTGACAAAGGCGATTCCGGGTGCCTACGGGTGGACCGACTATCGCTTCGTCATCTTCAAGATGCGGATTCGCCTACAGCCTCGCAGGAAACCTCAAGTTAAGCGACCTCCCGGGAAGCTGAATATCGCTTTGTTCTCTTTACCTGCTCACCATCTCCTTTTCAGCAACGAGCTACTTCAACGGCTAGCCAACCTTCCAGTCACTGATGCCGCCATTTATGAGAACGCCTCCGTGGAGAACCGATGGTGTTAAATGTGGGATACAGTCCAGTCGACGTCGACGACCCTGACCGTACTCGGTCGCGCAAGCAAGGCGCCAACACGAGGACTGATTCGATGGCAACGACGCCGACATCAGCAACCTGCTCGCCTGAACAAACTATACATCAATCGACTTACCGACGACAACAAAGCAGCCTTCTACCGTAGTTGACTCCTTATGCAACAGCGGCTGCGAGAGATGCAGGAAGCCTGGACGGCTCGCAAGGCCGAGGAGGTCGAAGGGTAAGCGGACCTCAACGAAAAGATGAACTTCTTCGACACGTCCGAAACAACTTCGGCCTGGTTATCGACACGGAGAAGACGGTGGTCATGCACGAACCGTCACCCGACGCTGCCTACGTTGCATCCCAAATCAACGTGAACAGCGCCTAGCTGCAGGTCGTGGACAACGTCAACTATCTGGCAGCAGCCTCTCCCGTACCACCAAGAGCGACGATGAAGTAGTCCGACGGATATCCATAGCCAGTCAAGCCTTCGGCCGTCTGCAAATGACAGTCTGGAATCGCCACGGTCTTCGCCTCAACACCAAACTAAAGAGTTACAAGGCTATTATCCTGCCGACGCTGCTGAATGGAGTGAAGACCTGGACGGCGAAGACTCAACCATTACCACCTCAGCTGTTTTCGATGGATACTGGATTTCAGATGGCAGGACCGGATGCCGGACACGGGTGTACTGGAGCGGACTGGAATCCTTAGCATCCACGTCATGCGGAGACAGCTGCAAATACGTTGGAGCGGGCACCTCGTGTGGATGGGTGACGAACGGCTACCCAAATAACTCTTCTACGGGGATGCCGTCACGGATTCCCGCCGACAAAGAGGTTAAGTCCATTCCCACAAGGACACTCCGAAGTCTTCTCTGAAGAATCTGCAGATCAATCCAAACAACTGGGAAGACCTCATCCGAGACCGATCGACCTGGATGAAGACAGTGAAGACAGACGCAACGATCTATGGAGCCAATCGCATCGTCGGTAGGTGCTGCGCAAGTCGGTTTTTGTTTAAACTGATTCATGCTTAAGCCACCGTGCCTGTTCCACCTTGCTCTGGAGTACACGTTGGTCATCTTTGGGTACGCGGTCGAACTGTCGTGTGTGTGTGTGTGTGTGTGTGTGTGTGTGTGTGTGTGTGTGTGTGAAGAACGGTATATTAAACTCATTGTTACAGCAGCATGACAGAAATTCTCACTGAAGCAATATAATTAGGAAGTCTAGCTAGCATTCTGCCGATGGCCTCCAAGCAAAAACTATTTATATTATTCTTTTAGATGAAAAGTTCGAATAGCCAAGAAAATTCGAACAAACAATGCCTCCTAATAAATATTGTAAAAAAACATTTTCGGGTCTTGCATTATACCTCTGCTGATCTATCAAAAAAACATATCCAACAATGTTCCCTAACGATGCGACGTTGATTACGCTGGAAAAAGGAAGATGAGTAACGCGAATTAAGTGGCAAATCGCTGAAAGTAGTTTCTTGGTAGGGACGGGAAGAATTAGGATAATGACAAAAACTTGAAGAAGGAAACACGATTGCCGGGACAAGAGCTTTATTAGCTTGACGTTTCGGATTCCTACTCGAATCCATCATCAGAGACAAAAGAGCAGAAACGGGTGGTTGTTGCACAAGGGGCTGCGGTATTTATAGGATGCAGTAACCATGCTACCGCATACCTATGAATATTCACGGCTCCCCCCTTCATCCGAGATCGTCGCACTTGGTGTGATCATTGCTTGATGGCCGACATTCGAGTCGATAATTGCTGCAATTTCATTACGTGCGTTGGATGTTGGCGTGATGATTGCTCGACCATCTGACGCACCGACCCCGGTGTTGGGAAAAGTGTTCACCTCTGCGCTCCCCGCATGGCTTGTTACCCCGCCTAGGCGAAGTTTCAGTACGGAGTATGGAATGGGAAGATCGTTGCACTTGTTGATGGACTGGGGGCCAGTAAACCATGATTCCAGTAGCTCCCGGCTCACGCGGTTGTCACCTCTTGTGAGAATTTCAGCCTCATCGAATTTAAATGTGTGGCCGGATCTCGTAGAATGAGCTGCAACTTGAGAGCTGGCGTCATTTCCGCGCACCGCTGCCGCGTGTTCGGCCATTCTCGTTCGGAGCTGTCTTCCGGTTTCTCCGACGTAGTTGCTTTGTCCGCAAATGCACCAGATCCGATAAACGACTCCAGACGTTTATAGCCGTGGCATTGGGTTTTTTGGTTTCATGATCAGGCTAATAAAGCTCTTGTCCCGGCGATCGTGTCTCCTTCTTCAAGACTACTTCCTGGGACTCGGCTCTTTGCTTCTATTGGCAATGACGAAAGCGTTGTCTTAGCGCATCGTATTTTGCAGCTCAGAAGTGGCGAAAGCTGGGCTATCAGCCCGACCTGCATCGATGTTGCCAATTTTCCAAACATTAATGACCCAAGCGAAAGAGAATGAGCTCTGGCTGTGTCGGAACGAACCAAAATCATAATTTAGGAATCGTGATTTTCCTACGGAACACTAAAGACTATGGGGAATTTAAAAGTTTCTTAATTATTTCAGATATTCTTAGGGAAAATTGTGAGCGGATAGTAAACTTTCGAAGGAGTGGTAAAAGCAGTTTTAAAAACGAGTGACCACGTTTTCGTTGAACGCGAATTTGTGTTGCCGTGCAATTGCGAACATCTATTCTGTGTGCAATGGAGTGGAATAGTTATCATAATGATTAGTGTTTTATCTGGAGCCAGGTTTTTTTTCTGCATCTATCTCGCAACGACCTTTTATATAACAGACGTCACAGAAAGCGCACTTCATTTAGAGGTACCAGGCGTCCAAGGCTAAAACCGGTGACCTCTTATTAGCTGCTTATAAATTAACCTGAAAGATCATTCCTATACTTTTGGGGAATCAGTCGTCCGAGGGTGGTGTGCAAAGGCGGTTTATACATATAAAAAGATTTCTTATCCTTGAATTTAGGTGAGGGGGCTGAAAATTCACGAACAGAAATAGCAAATATCAGATGTCAGAAAAACCCTCGAAATTATATGGATATTTCATTTTGCTGGCGGTGTACCAGCCGTATCCACTTTAAAATACGCTTGAACAAATATCAACCAAAAATCAAAACAGGCGCTAAGTTTCTAAAAAATAAACTACTAATTATTAACGCCTACGTATATGCAAATGTTTGAATTCAAAACGCTTTCATTCGCATGGTACAGAAGATCACATTTCAACCTAATAATTTATTTCTAATTTTCGCGATCGCAAATAGAGATGCCCGAATGACCATTTGTGGCTAATAGATATTTGTGAACCAATGATGCTGCAACCTCGGTTTGAACGCCGGAGGCTAGAACTTTTGCAGATTGATCATCTAAGCACAACCAAACCACCTAGTTATGGGTTAACGTCATGTGCCTGACAGGATGAGGGTTTTTTCAATAATAAACGGTTTACTTTATATCCTGCTTCTTTGTGAAAGACCAAGCCGGAAATCTGGTTTTCTGTCGAGATATACGACCAAAAGACCAGAATGCCTGCAACGTGACACATGCTCCGAAGTTATATTAATGCACGTCAATGCGATATAATGACCTGTTGGTCAGCCAAAGCAAAATGGTCATCTTATACTGTTGTATTTATTTTTATCTTCCCAATAGTTCAATCCTCTTCCACGATATGGCAGGTTTAAGCAGTTTTTTTAGAGATGGCTTATTGTTCTTTTAGTATAATGGGAAGTTAGCCATAAAGTGGCCTTTTTATTCTGCTATGCATTTTGGATATGTGCAACGGTATGCCACCCACCAAAACTGCGTGTTTATAAAGAAACTGGTCTTTCCATCCGAACACTGCCAATTTTTAAATAAGAAATGTAAATTTTCTTTCGGTTTAGCCGCCGCAAGTGTTTCTGTTGTCTGTATGTTTTGGGGTTTACAGAGAAGTGAAAAGTTGTTCGTTATAGCAAAAGACGAAAACAAATATGCCTCCTTCTCATTCGGTGAAAAAAGCAACAACTGCGTTCAGAGTAGCCTCGAGAGTGAGATATCATCTGCCGTTTTCAGCCTGCGTTAGAAATTGTTTTCGCCCTAATCTGTCGTATAGCCTGCTGTATTTCAAATATTTGCTTCGAACTTCAGAACCAAGTTGCCCGCAACCGGGAAGGTATCTCGTGCAGTTTTATTTCCGCAAGTAGGGCAACCCAGTAAATAAGAGGCAAAGAATGAAGGTCTGCAAGGTTCTGACACCTTAACTTGAGAACTGAAACACTGACACATGCCTATCATATATTCTCAAGAAAATTCAAATTCAATGTAGCGCAACGATACTAAAAATAGTTGAGCACAGAGTGAAATACAGTTTTCAGCACGAAATCGACGTAACGCTGCGGTGGCAAACCCTGCATGGGAAAGACACGCGAAAACCTTCTTGCAGAAAAATAAGCAAAACAACTTACTATCCACCCCTACGTTTTCAAGTTACCGTTGTTGAGGAGTTACAGCCCTTTAAAATATAGAAGTACCCGAAGTATTGCCACCATCGACTTCATGATAACCAGCAGATTATCTAAGTTACATTGCTGTCCACGAACACTGCCACTCGAAAGGAATGACCAAAAGGTCATGTTAGTTCTGAAGCGTCTCGCCTTTCACTTGTGGGAGCAAAGGTCCGTCAGCTATTCCAGGCAGTCTACGCCCACAAAGTCACAAGATAAAGTCACTGTTCCTCCTGTTCTGTCCAACATGTAGACTCTTGTGACAGTCAAAATCAGGAACCCACATACATGTTATGAGGTCTCAATTTTGTACTACACAGCCAGTAGGCGAAACGGATA